GAACTCCTGACCTCAAGTGATCCACCTGCCTCAGCCTCCCAAAGTGCTGGGATTACAGGCGTGAGCCACTGCGCCTGGCCAATGCTCCCATTCTTAACGCAAGTGACCTCCCTTCTCTGGCCTCCATTTCCTTATTCACAAATTGGGGACACTAATATCTATATCATTGTATCAGTGTGACAATGGACAAAGTATGGCAAAAGCAAAGGTACAATGCAGATACAAAGGCTGCGTAAAGAATGACTGGGACTTGAACTCAGGTCGCCTGACTCCCTAACAAGTGCTCCTTCCCAACACCAGGCCACCTCTCCTGGTACAGAAGGCCGGTCAGCCAGGTCCACTAGTCTCTGACTATGTTACCACCCACTGGCCAAGGATCTATGGAGAGGACAGAGCTTCCTTCCTCCTTCTCCCAGCTGTGGTGCTGGGCCCAAGGCCTCTGGGTGGGTGGCGGATGGCATGCATACCTTACAGCGGCAGGCCTCGCCGGAGGTCCCCACGCTGCCACGTTCATCACAGCGCACAATCTCCTGGTCTGGGACACAAAGTGGGTGTTGTCAGGGCAGGTGGAAATGGGATAGACACAGTTCAGGCAGAGGAACGGTGGCTCTCTAAGGATCATGAGCTGGGGCAGGGAGGGAGGGTACCTGGTGTGCAGCCCAGGTTGGGTTGGGAGGTGGGTGTCAGGGGATGGTGGCAGCCATACTCACTGACAGGCCTGCACTTCCCGCCGGGCTGGATGGGGTTGCCCTCATATCCGGGGGCACAGCTAGGGGAAAAAGGGGGCCCCCGTCAGTGGCACTTCCATGACCCCACTCAGGAGCCCCCTTCCTGCAGCCCCCAAGGCTCTCCCTCACCTCTCACAGCGGCGGCCGGTGTAGCCTGGGGCACAGGCGTCACATGTGGCTTGGCCATCCGTGTCCAGGAAGCAAGTGTCTGAGAATCTGTGGGTATCAAGTAGACAGGGCATGGGGCAGGGCTGCGGTCAGGCTTTCTCCTCCCACCCTGGGAAATGACCACTGTCCACACAGACACAGTGTGCCATGAGGCATGACACCATCTCCCTGCCCGGCACAGCAACTATGGGAAGTCAGGGGGCTCGTTATACAGACGAGGAAACAGAGGCCTAGAGAGGTCAAGGAGCACGGGATAACTTAGTGACCAGGCGGACATCTGAATCCAAGTCTCCCGCCTCCCTGCCCAGAGCATTCTCCCGGCCTGCTGCACGGCCCCCAGCCAAATCCCCCCACCCGGAGCCGGGGCTGACCTGCGGGAGGCATCGATGTATGGGCAAGGGCAGGGCCGGCAGGCAGTGGCCGTGGCCTTCGTGGCATCCCCAAAGAAGCCAGCCTTGCACTTGTTGCACTGTGGCCCCTCCGTGTTGTGCTGGCAATTCTAGGAGAAGGAAGAGGGTATGGCTCAACTTCTAGAGCAGAACTGGGCCAGATGCTGTGGGGGGCCTTGGAGGCTGTCTGGCTCAGCCTCCCCATCACGCTGGAGGCACGGCTTTGCAGACAGGGGACCATCGACTGCAACCACTTATAGATGATGGGGAGCTCATCACCTCACACGGCAGCCTGTCCCATAGATGATTCCAAATGCCTGCTTTTTATCGACCTAAACCTGCCACCCTCTTCCAATCTGCACCCACTGGCCAGTTCTGCTCCCCAGAGTCTGTTTCTTCTACCCGACACCTTTGCAGGGATTTGGAGATGACAATGCTGCCCTGCTTGAGTCTTTTCTTTTGTCAGCGCCACAATCCCAGCTCTCGCCACCATTCCTAAGAAATAAGGTATCACCCTAAGGGCTCTTCCCCCTAGGGCTGCCCTCTGCAGGTCATGCTTCTTCATTTGACACTCTCCAGGATTAGTCTGATGAGGGTGGAGGAGAGGAGGGCCATCACCTCCCTTGTCTGGACGCTGTATCTCTGGGGTTTGTTGTTGTTGTTTTGAGACAGAGTCTCGCTCTGTTGTCCAGGTTGGAGTACAGTGGCACAGTCTTGGCTCACTGTAACCTCCACCTCAAGTGATTCTCCCGCCTCAGCCTCCTCAGTAGCTGGGATTACAGGCGTGCGCCACCACACCCAGCTAATTTTCTTATTTTTAGTACAGACGGGGTTTCACCATGTTGGCCAGGTTGGTGGCGAACTCCTGACCTCAAGTGATCCACCCATCTCAGCTTCCCAAAGTGCTGGGATTTCAGGCATGAGCCACCACGCCCAGCCTCTATCTCTGTTATTGCATCCAGAGGTCATGATAGTCCATCTGGCAGTCATGACACTCATTCTGGAGGCTTGTGCTGAGCTCATGAACACAGGGAGTCTTGCACCTTGTCCTTGCTCCTATTTTAGTGTCCAAGTGCCAGCTGGCTCTACTCACCAGGCAGTGGCCATACACAGGGTCACAGGAGCTGGCATGGCCATTGCAATTGCAGCCAGAGCAGGTGCCCAGGTAGGGCCCACCAGGCACCCGAGTGAAGTGGGCATCACAGCTCTCGCAGGACAAGCCAGAATAGCCAATGGGGCATCTGTGGGGACAGGACCGAGAGAGTCGCTGCAAGGACTGTGAGGCCCTGCCATTTCTCCTCTATCCTTGCCAGGGCCTCTGTGGTTCCCAGCCCTGCTGGCTCAGGCACCTGCACTCCTCCACACTGTGGGCACGGCCATGGCTGGTGGCGTGGGTCACAGTAGTATCCATGGCGATGTCGCTCAGCCCCACGCTGGCCATCTTGGTGTTGTACACGGTCTGGATGAGCACGGCCTCCAGGCTCTGCAGCACCTGCAGCAGCTCCGCGCGCTGCACCGGCCGGCCAGACTCATGGACCCAGTGCTCCTGGGTACGGGTGAAGGTGGCAGGGGTCACACATCAGCACCTACTCAGCCTAAATCCCCCTTTGCTCCCAGCCCTAAGGGCTCAGGCACCACCTACCTCAGAGAACTGGACCTGGCGCTGGTTCAGAGCACCAGGTTGGGTGGGCGTGTGGCCTCGGGAGAGGAGGCGGTACCCGGCACCCACGAGGACCACGTCCGGCCGCTGCACTGGCTCCAGCATGCCACGGGCCAGTTCGTAGCGCACGTTGTAACGCAGGGAGCCACCATAGGAATCCACCTGGCACAACAGGGTGGATCAGGGCGGGCAGCTGTGGGCACACTTGACACCCATCGTGCCTACAAGGTGCCTACAGTCTTCCAGCTCCTCCCTCACTGTGGCTACCTGAGACTCACTGTGTGCCAGGCACTCAGCTAGGTATAGGGAAACTGAGATGGGTGAGACTCAGGCCCTGACTCTAGGGTGTTTGGTCCATGGCAGGGTGTGGAATCATGCAGTGCACAGGGTGCTCAGGGAAGCCAGTGCTGAGGCACAGAACCCAACCCAGGCATGGGGGAGCGGTCAGGGAGGGCTCCTGGGAGGACAGAAGGCCAGCTCTTCTTCCCAAGCCAGCAGTGCCAGGGAGAGGTCCTGTCCTGAATGGCTGAGCCACTGCCACAGGGGGCTGCATCGGGGCACGGCAACACCTTTCCCCGCAAGTCTGCCTTGCTGTCCACCAACTGCAGAGGGACTGGAGCCCACGGGGATTCTTTCTCCACCCAGGGCGGCAGCCCAGGCCTCTCACTTTGTTGCCCAGGAACTGCTCAGGGAGAGCCCAGAAGGAGTCGTGGACGAGGAAGCGGCGGGACAGGTCGACTAGCTGGAACTCGTGCAGGGCTGGGTCGATCTGCAGCTGCGTGGAGGAGAGGGGTGGCATGCTGGGCTGTGCAGGCATCACCACATTCACACCTGCGGGTGGCAAGAGAGAGGCTAAGGGCTGCAGCCTGGGCCTGCCTGATACACCCACCTTGAGGGGCAGCAACCCAGAAAAAGATGGGAAAGTTCTAGGGGAAATTTGATTTCAAGAAAACTTTGATCTCTCTTCCAAACTGAAGAAAATGCAGGTTTTGGCCAGGTGCGGTGGCTCACGTCCATAATGCCAGCACTTTGGGAGGCTGAGGCGGGCAGATCACTTGAGGCCAGGAGTTCATGACCAGCCTGGCCAACATGGTGAAAAAAAAAAAAAAAAAAAATTAGCCAGGCATGGTGGCGCACACCTGTAGTCCCAGCTACTCAGGAGGCTGAGACAGCAGAATCACTTGAACCTGGGAGGCAGAGGCTGCAGCGAGCTGAGATCGTGCCACTGCACTCCAACCTGGTCCACAGAACAAGACTCTGTCTCAAAAAAAGAAAAGAAGAAAGAAAATGCAGTTCTTTTCCTCCTTCCCAAATACTGGAGCAGCATTTCCCGAAGCATGCTCTGAGAAAGGTAAGTCGATGCTATGGAATGATGGCTGGGGAACCATTTGGGAACCACAGGGTCAAAGAAAGGTCCAGGGGGTTCTTTGCAGCCAGACTTCTCCGGGCCTTTCTTGCTAAGAGACCCACAGACTTTCAGCGCTGGAACAACCCTGTGGGCAGGAGAGCTACACAGGGCTGAGGAACAGGAGCTCAAGTCCAGGTGTGTTGTAAGCCTGGGCAAGGGCCTCAGTTTCCTCATCTGTAAGATGATGCTTAAAGTAGCCTGCCTCCTAGAGGTATAAGCTAAAATGAGAAAACTGACATAAAATGGCTAGCTCTTATTGTTGCTCTTGTTATGACGGGTCATCCAGTCCAACCCTCTCCTATGTACACACACATACGCACAGTACGCCACACGGGAATTCCCTTGACAGCATCCCCCCAGATCTCTAGGACAGCTCCACCCTAGAGAACTTTCGGTGGAGTGAAAATATCCTGTACCTACACTCTTCATTATGGTAACTATTAGGTTGGTACAAAAGTAATTGCTGATTTTGCCATTAAAAGTAATGGTGCTTTCCAACTTGGACCCGGCAGAATGGCTCCCGTAAAGAAGGGTGGCGAGAAGAAAAAGGGCCGTTCTGCCATCAATGAGGTGGTGACCTGAGATTACACCATCAGCATTCACAGGCACATCCATGGAGTGGGCTTCAAGAAGCGTGCCCCTCGGGCACTCAAAGAGATTCGGAAATTTGCCACGAAGGAGATGGGAACTCCAGATGTGCGCATTGATACCAGGCTCAACAAAGCTGTCTGGGCCAAAGGAATAAGGAATGTCCCATACCGAATCCGTGTGCGGCTGTCCAGAAAACGTAAAGAGGATGAAGATTCACCAAATAAGCTCTATACTTTGGTTACCTACGTACCTGTTACCACTTTCAAAAATCTACAGACAGTCAATGTGGATGAGAACTAATCGCTGATTGTCAAATACATCAAATAAAGTTACAAAATTGAAAAAAAAAAAGTAATGGTATTAGCCACACGTGGCCACCGAGCACTGGAGACGTGTCTAGTGCTGCTCAGGAATGAATCGTTGTATTTCAGTTTAAAGAGCCATACATGGTCAGTGACTGCCACATTAGGCGGTGCAGCTGTCATGGATGGGGAGCGTACAAGCTCCAAAGACCGTCCCTCCTAGCTCTGGACAACTTTGACTCTTAGCAAGTTCTTCCTTACATGGAGTCCACATCTGTCTGCCAATAGGTTCTCCTGCTCATCCTGAATTAACCCCCTGCATCCACAGGGGAGTCCAGCTCCTCACCCACAGAATGACCGAGCACAGCCCCGGGTCTAGGTTACTCTATCCTCTTTCCTCCCTGCCTTCCGGGGATGTCTTCAGGCCTCCTCCCTCCTGGTCACCATCCACACACAGGCCACCTGCTCACCATGGAATTCCCACCACTCCCTCCCCTGGACTATCCAGATTCCAATCAGACAGCCCTGGGTTCAGCTCCCCCTCTAAAATGCTGTGGGAACCCAGGGAAGTTCCACAACCTCTCCGAGCCCTGGGGCTCTCATCTTAAAACTGTGAAATCAGCCCTGACCTTGCAAGGGTTATTGGCAGTTCGATGACTGTCATGTCAAGCCACAGGGCCAACTGCCTGCTCACCAAATGGTGGCCATGGCATTAGTATTCTAAACATGCTGGGGAACAACTTTGGGAAGTAACTAAGTTTTGTTTTGTTTTTGGGGATGGGGTCTCATTCTGTTGTCCAGGCTGGAGAGCAATGGCATGATCATAGCTCACTGCAGCCTCAAACTCCTAGGCTCAACAGATCCTTCTGGCTCAGCCTCTCAAGTAGCTGGGACTACAGGCGCAAGCCACCATGCCTGGCTAGATTTTTTATTTTTAATTATTTGTAGAGATGCGGTCTCACTATGTTACCCAGGCTGGTCTTGAACTCCTGGCCACAAGCAATCCTCCCTCCCAGCCTCCCTAAGTACTTGGATGACAGGCATAAGCCACCATGCCTGGCCAGGTAACTAAGTCTTATACAAGTCATTTTTAGGCTCCTCAACCAACAAAAGGGCATAAAATGTGTTGAGTGCTTTGGAGCTAACTCTCTACATGCATTTAATCCTCTGCAATGAAGAAGTGAGGGCTGCTTGATGCCAGGTGGGACACGACAGAGCCGGGACCTGAGCCCAAGTCCAGGCAGTGCCCGGGCTCATGCTCTCAGCCATGCTGCCATTCTGCCTCTCAGAGCCAGAAAGAATTGAGTCCAGCCGCCGCCTCTATCTTTGGGAAAATAGGCCCAGGGAAGCCAAGAGACTTGCCCAAAGACACAGCGGCAGTAAGTGGTGCAGCTGGAGGCCACCCTCAGGCTGAAGAGATGCCGAAGCCTGGGCTCCTATACTCTGGGTACGCTGGCACCTCTGCCTCTCAGAATGAGGACAATGACTGTGACATTAGCAAATACCTCCTGGGTGCTGACCATGGGCTGAGCACAATTCCGAGAGGCTTACATACACGACTCCACTAAGTCCTTACCAACCCCTGGGAGGTAGTTACTATTCCACCCCCCGACTTTATAGATGAGAAAGCAGACACGAGATAGTGGGTAACTTGACCCAGGACACAGGTGGACAGTGTCCACGTCAGGATCTGAAGCAGGAAGCTGGCTCCAGAGTCCGTCCTCTCCGTAACCTGAAGCAGGTAGGTAGCAAGAGGGGATTTGGCTTTTCCTAAACATGGTGGTTTTCCCCCCGAAATGCTTTTTTGACAGGGCTCAGTGTTTCTTCAGTGACTTGTATTCCTTCCCGAAACCTGGCCCCCTCTGTCTGCATCTATCCTCTGTGCCCACTGGAGCCTGGTACCCACCTCCCACCTCCCGCAGCGCTCACCCGCCCGCCAACGCACCCTTGAAGTCATCGGGTTGGTCAAAGCGCAGCCTGATCTGGTCCCGGAAGCGGCGGCTGCTCTGGCACACGCTGGTGATGCCAAAGCAGAAGCAGGGCAGGCAGGAGGCGCTGTGCTCCAGGTAGAAGTGGCCGTCAGGGCAGGGGCCTGCTGGGCGGCATGGGAGGGGGCTGCAGCCAGCTGTGGCGGGCAGCCCAGCTCTGCCCCCACACCCCGTGACACCTGCCCTCCGGCAGTACCTCGCTGTGGGACGAGCTCAAGGACACCGTCAGGAATGCCAAACACCATGCCCCGGGCGTTCATGGCCTCACAGGTGTAGGCACCCTGGTCTGACTCCTTCACGTCACGGATGATCAGTGTGCCACGGCCCCCCTCGCTGGTCACTGTCACCCTGTTGGCCCCAAGACAAGCGGTAGGATCTGGCCTAGGGCTCTGGACCAGCTGTCCCCCATTCCCACCCCACCACCCGGGCCCAGAGCCACACCTGGGATGAGAGGGGATGTGGCCCCAGTTGAGCCTCCAATTGATGATGGGGGTGGGGACGCCAATGGCCACGCAGGTGAAGGTCACTGTCTGGCCCCGGGAAGCCTGGATGGACTCCTGAGGAGGCGTCACCACCTGGGGGGGCACTGAGGAGACCAGGGCAGGGGTGAGGGCAAAGGAAGGAGGAGCGGAGGGAGCGCTCTGAGGGGCTAGGAGGGAGAAGAGTGGAGGTTGAGGCTGTGGACAGAAGCCCCCAGAACCCAGCCCAGGGCCCACATCTCGATCCCAGCTCCCTGCTCACTGCAGCCAAACTCGTCGCTCCGGTCGGGACAGTCACTCTCCTCGTCACAGTGGAAGCTGGCTGGGATGCACACGTTGGTAGAGACGCATCGGAACTGTGTGGGCCCACACACCTCTTCAGGGCGCTTGGTGGCTGGGGACAAAGTCAGTGGTTCCCAACAGCCCACCCCTGTCCATCCTCCCTGGGCATCCCCGGAGTCACTCTCTCATTTTGCCCACATAACCCACAGTGGCCCTCGCCATGCCTAGTCCCTGCTGCACAACACCGTCCACCTCACAGCCAGCATGATGCGGCCACCAGCTGTCATCGAACCACTCATCACATTACTCAGCTCCCACCCCTCACTCCACCTGCATTCCCCATGCCAGTTATGGCTGGCACATCACTGTCACAACCACAGTGTCACCCAGCCACACTCAGAGTCACAGAAGCGCTATCTTGTACACATGGACAAGACCCACGTCAAAGGCACAACCAGTGGGGCTGGCATCTCTGGGCGCCAGCAGTGCTCCACACACCCTTCTCTACCAGAAAGGCCCGGCAAGGCGCCTGGCACAGCATGGTCCCCTGTGGGGCTCGACAGTCTGTGCTCCCACTGACAGGCCCTCTATGGAGTGGCCAGAGGCTGGAAGTGGCCTGGGACAAGGGCTGGGCCCCACTAGGCCTCTCTAGTGGCTGGTGACCAATATTCTTCCTCAGGGAGATGGAGCTTGAGAGAGACACAGACACAGACAGAGAAGTCACAGCCATGCAGGGGGAGCGGAAGCTGCGCATCCACAGAGCAGGTGCGAGAGGAGACCAGGAGGTAGCTGTGGAGGCAGCTCAGGCGCTTCTGTTCCCCGCACTCTCAGGAGCCCATGAGGCCATTCAGCCTTCACATTCTCTGGCTCTGTGCTGTCCACAAGGACCTGTCCTTCCTTTGACTTCCCCAGCAGAGGTCCCTGGAAAGGGCCTTCCCACTAAAGCCCCCAATTACGTTCTCTCTCCCAAGGAGCTGGTGCTGACAGGCAAGCTTAGAGCCACAGAAAGGCATTCTCAAACTCTGCCAGTCTGTGACATGATGCGGCCTCTCCCCAGGGCTTGCTGTGGAGTGGGCAGGGGAAGGAAGGCAAGGAGAAGTTGGACAAGCTCATGGTGGGAACATGGACACGTGCCCAGACACACCAACAGGACCACAGTGAAGTGCCTGAAGATTATCCTCAATCTCGCACTAACAAGCATCAGGCTTCTCATGGGACAGGACATACTGGATACCACCTGATGTGGTCTCTGCCTCTCCAGCCTCCCCCTCCTATTTAACTATCAGGACGCCCATAATGTCCACAACATGAACTGGAAAGATGGATATCATAAGGGTGGGGCAGTGGGAGGCTGGAAGGACGGATGAGAGGGAAGAAGGATGACAGATGGATGGGTGGAGAGATGGATGAAGGGCTGGGTGGATGGATAATGGGTGCATACGTGGGTGCATGGGTGGCTGGGGAGTTGGACGTATGGGTAAGGCTCTGACTCGCATACATAAGCCAAGGACCCATCACCAAGGGACCTTGGCACATAGAACCCTCCTAGTCATTCATCTGACATACATACAGAACAAAGAGAAGGTTCATGGTAACAAAAATAAAGGAAAGAAATGAAGAGACACGAACCACAGGCGGGCTAACTACACAGCTTCACCAAAGGCCAGCTCAGGGCCAAGAGGCCTTACAGCTCCGGTCAGAGAGAAACCCTGGAGGGTGTCTCCAGGGCCTTCCGCACTCAGCCAGGGAGAGCAAACAAACAGGCTTGGGGGACTGGGGAGGGTGGAAAGCAGAGTTGCAGGGTAGGGGTGGGGCAGGAGTGGAAGGCGGGGCAGGAGCAAGTGGCCTGGGCAGGGCGGGGGCCTCCGCTGGACCCTCGGATACTCACGGCAGTTGGCTTCGTCAGTTCGGTCCTCACAGTCAAAATCACCATCACAGCGCCACAGCTTGAGGGCACAATGTCCATTCCCACACGGGAACTCATTGGGCTCACAGGGTGGCGGGGGTCCTAGGAGACAGGGCAGGGGTCAGCAGCATCCTCCTGGGCCAGCTTCCCGCTCCCCGCACCCACCTGCACCCCTGCCAGTGCGCACCACAGTCCAGCTCATCGCTGCCGTCCTCGCAGTCCTCCTGTCCGTCGCAGAGGTAGTCTCCGGGGATGCAGTGACCACTGCGGCATGCGGCCTCCTGGGGCCCACAGGGCAGGGGCCTGACGGAACCGGGAAGCAGGGGCTGAGGAGCGTGGGTGACTGGTGGCTGTCGCATGATGGCTGTCTCTGGCCGCGGCGGTAAAGGTGTCGTCTCCACCAGGACAGAGACTGTGGGGCTGATCCCCAGGACCAGTTGCTCTGTGGACAGATTCCGCTTGGCATTTGGCAGAAGCAGGTGGCTCCTCACCTGCTTCTTGTCCCCAACCCTCCCCAGGCCCACCCTGTACTCCCCAACACTACTGTCTGCCGCCCCCTGCCCGGCTCTGTCATCACCCTTCCTATGCCTCTATCCTCTGCCTGCACCAAACCCTCATAGTCCTCGATGGGCTCCAAGACCCAGGTGTAGCACCCTGGCCCTCCCCTGGCGCCCAAACCACTTGTGGCCTCAGACATCCCCTCACCGCAATTGAGTTCATCAGACATGTCCCTGCAGTCGGGTCGCCGGTCACAGCGATACTCCAGGGCCACACACTCATTGTAGCTGTGGCAGGCAAACTCAGCCTCCGTGCAGGCTCTTGGGAACTGGGGCACTGCAGGTGGAAGGAAGCAGACTGGAGTCAGAGGTGGCAGGAAGGAGGTGCGGGAAGCTGTAGGGAACGCAGAGGTGCTGCAGGGCTGGAGCGGGCTTCAGGACCCTTTGTCAGGCAGCTTGGTTTCTGGCAGGCACAGTGAGGGCAACGAGCACATACTAGACACACCCACAGCACGCGTGGGGCATGGGACAAGTGGCAGTGGCCTCCCCCGTCTCTAACACAGACCCCACAGGCAGTTGACATGCCACACGCATGCAACCAGCACACCACACACATGCAGGCCACAGCCTGGCCCAGTGAGGACAAAGAAGGAGGGAAGAGAGTGCCCAGTTGTCTTGGGCTGTGCTCAGTCAGCCATCTCACCCACACCCTTCTTTCCCCTCCATCTCTTTTTTATTTATTTTTATTTTTTTGAAACAGAGTCTCGCTCTGTCGCCCAGGCTGGAGTGCAGTGGCGCGATCTCGGCTGACTGCAAGCTCTGCCTCCTGGGTTCATGCCATTCTCCAGCCTCAGCCTCCCAAGTAGCTGGGACAACAGGCGCCCGCCACCACGCCCAGCTAATTTTTTGTATTTTTAGTAGACGGGGTTTCACCGTGTTAGCCAGAATGGTCTCGATCTCCTGACCTCGTGATCCACCCGCCTTGGCCTCCCAAAGTGCTGGGATTACAGGTGTGAGCCACCGCACCTGGCCCATCCTTTAAAAAAAGGGTCTTGCTATGTTGCCCAAGCTGGTCTGGAACTCCTTGCCTCAAGCAATCCTCCCGTCTTGGCCTCCCAAAGTGCTAGGGTTACAGGCGTGAGCCCCTGCGCCCGGCCTCCTCTCCAACCTTAACTTCTCTAGGAACCTGGCTGGGCCTGGGCCTGGCTTACACTCTCACCTGGTGTCACTGCGACCGCCACAGCGGCCGGCGGGGGTGGGGGGGTCTGTGCTGGAAAGGAAGATGTGGTCAGTGGCTGTTCCACCTGGGAGCCGGGAGCTGAGGGCTGCAGGGCTGGGCCAGGCCGTTCCACCACCCCTAGCCAGGAGGACTCATTGAGAAGTGAGAGAGGAGGGCTGGACCCCCAGCAGTCTTTAGACCTGGGCCTGATGATGCAGAAGAGCAAGCTTGATCTCGGGGTGCAATAATTAAGGGTTTTTGTTTGTTTGTTTTGTTTTAGAGGCAGGGTTTTGCTCTGTCACCCAGGCTGGGGTACAGTGGCATGATCCTAGCTCACTGCAGCCTCAAACTCCTGGGCTCCCGCCTCAGCCTCCTGAGTAGCTAGGACTACAGGCGTGCACCACCACGCTTGGCTTAATTGAGGTGCAGAACAAGGGAGGTGATGGTTTCACTATTTTTTCCTCATTGGGCTAGGGTGGAGTTTGTTCCATTCTGAGTTCCACTGAGTCAGGGTCTTCCCAGAGAGAGGGAACCGAGATGGAGACAGGGCTGAGAACCACAGCCTGTGAGGGATGAACTAGGGCTGTTCGGTCTAGAGAAAAAAAAAACCAAAAAACTCAGGAGGTTAAAACAGGAGACCAAGGGCACAGTAGAAGGAAATCTGGGCTGACCCAGAGTACAAAGGTCAGGATTCTGCACCTAACAGCTGTGTGGTTCAGACCAGTTTCCTAGTCTCTCTGTGCCTCAGTTTCTCCTGCTTCTCTCATCACAGGTTCTGGCAAGACTGTCATAGACACCGAGTTTGTTTGAAATCCTCGCCTTTTCACTATCTGCCTATCTGATTCTGGACAAATTCAGATTTTCCTTTCTGGGCCTCAGTTCCCTCGTCTCTGAAACAGGAGGAATAACATCTCCTTCAAAGGAATTGCTGTGAAGACTGACCCGGAGGCCGGAAATAAAGGCAGTCAGGGCTCAGTAAACAGTTGCTGGTTATTATTAAGTACTAATGTGTTTTGGACTTGTACGTACAGGATAAATAAAGGCCTGACTACCTATTGTCAATGTGCAGAGGTCTAGAAGGAAGGAGCAGAACTTGGGTCTAATGGACATGTGCTAGAGGAAACAGTCTGCACTCTACCAAGCCCAGACTGTATAAGGATCGATGGGGCAGACTCAGGAGGGTAGTGAGCTCCCTGTTTCTAGTGGTGTGCAAGCCCAAGTTGGGAGCCCATGGTGGAGACACTGAAAGGGGACCCCACGAGTCTGGAGGAGGCAACCCCAGACACCAGGATAGGCTCACCTGTGCCCAGGCGTCGGAACTGGAATCCCCGGGGAGAGGTGATGTAGGAGGCCATGGAGCCACTGGAGATGACCCTGAGCAGCACCTCCTGAATCTGAGCCCCGTCTGCATTCCCTTCCGAGCCCACATCCAGCTCCACAAAAACCCAGCCATCCAGCTCCCTGGGGATGGAGATGGGCAGGAGACGAGGGTCAGAGAGACGCCTGTGTTCTCAGCTACTCCATGAGGCTCCTGCCCCGACGCTCAGGCCCTGTTCCAGGACAGCCTGTACCCAAAGAAGGGCAACTAAAGGTCCCAATGATCCCCCCACCAATTCCTGAATTTCCACCCATAGCAACTCATCCCATAGGCCTTTCTGCGGTGCCAGGCTTCCTTCTCATCCTCATCGGCCCCCTCCAGGTTACCCACTCAAGTTCCCCAGCAACCCCCAGGGGGCCCCTTCTCACTTGATGAACACCACACTGACAACCTGGTCTCCGGGAATTTTCAAGTACTCCGACTCCAGCTGGGGAGGGACACAGTGCCATCAGCCCCAGAGGCCTTCACCCCATCCTCAGTCCTGCCCCACCACACCCACGAGCTTCCCGAACCCCCTTCACCTCACCGTGTCTACCACAGCCTCGGACACCTCTCGGAATTCTCTGGAGCCTGCATCCTCCAGCTGAGGGCTGTACTCGATGGAGCGAGTGAAATTCACCAGGGCTCGGAAATAAACTGGAAAATCAAAGGAGGATCATTTTGAGAGCCCCAGCCTGGCATGTAGTGGCCTTAGGCAGTTGGAGCATTCAGACAGAGTTGGGGGGATAGCCCCGGGAGGCCTCCCTTAAGACTGACACCTGTGTGCCCACAGCTATGCCCAGCACTGCCTGTAGGTATACATGCTCAAGGGTCAATGTCAAAGCCCCAACTTGACTGAGGGGCTTTAACTAACAGGGGAAATGGCCTGATCCAGAAACCACGTGCGAGTGCAGAAGAGGAGACCCCCGCAGTTCAGAGGAAGGTTGGACAAGAAGGGGTGGCTCCCAGAGGGGGCTGGCCTGGCACAGGGATTACCTGTGTGTGAATGGGAAAGGCTCTGCCAGCCTTCCTTGGCCAGTTCCTCGTCATTCCTCAGGACCTGGCTCAGCCATTGTCTCCTGATCTTCCTGATCTGCCCTGGCTGGGGTAGAGACTGCTCCCCTGGGCTCTCACAGTACCCTGCTTTCCCTAGCAGAGCACCTTCCACCGTGTACTGTGTAGATTCTGCCAGGTTTCACACCACAGTAACAATCGTGAGTTCTAAGGCCAGCCACGCCTCAGGCACTGACCTCGGCTCTGAGTTTCTGTTTCCTAATGGGGATAGTGACTGCATGCACCACCTGCGTGGCTGCGAGGAGTGCATGATGCTGTGTTCACATGCACCAGGCCGTTATACTCAGATGCAGTGCCTGGCACACAGCAAAGCACCTGAGAATCAAAGCTGCTGTCATCCTCTCTACCACTCTAAGCTTGATGAGGGGGAACCTGGGATTTCATTCACGACCTCATCCCTAGTGCTTGCCGAGTGCCTGGCACACAGCGAGTTCCTCGAAAGTGATGGCTGAACAAATTCATCTCAGACTGGCGTGAACATACACATGCATCTGTTGTTCTTTTTTAGGCAGGGTCTTGCTCTGTCACCCAGGCTGGAGTGCGGTAGCACAATCACAGCTCACGGCAGCCTCAACCTACAAGGCTCAAGCTATCCTCCCACTGCAGCCTCCTGAGTAGCTGGGATTACAGGTGCATGCCACCATGCCCGTCTAATTTTTTGACTTTTGATAGAGATGGGGTCTTGCTATGTTGCCCAGGCTGGTCTCAAACTCCTGTGCTCAAGCAATCCTCTCGCTATGGCCTCCCAAAGTACATCTATCGTTTCTTAAGCACCTACTATATGCTAGACATTTTATACTCATTACGTTTCACAATGTTTGTGAATTCATGTATGTGATAAATATGAATGAATAAGAGTGACAAATGAGTCATATACAAGCTAAGCATCCCTAATCCAAAAATCTGAAATCCGGTGTGTAGGTGGCAGAGCAGGGAGTGGCACTGTCTGTGCTACTGCCAGGCCCATCCTCCTCCCGCTTTACTCTGTCTGTCAGGCCCGCAGGTGCATAGGACGTTCTTGCTCTGTGGCTCGGGTGAAGAAAGCCCTGGCGCTGCCTGCCCTGAACCGCTGGGCCGGGCTCCTGGGTGCCGGGTGGGCGGGGCTCTGTGGGCTGGAGTGTGGGGGCCATGGCTCAGCTACAGAGGCCCCTTGTGAGCCGGCACAGAGGCCCATTGAGAGTCCCCCCACCCAAGCCCCTGGCCTCAGCCCCATGGCCCAGAGCGGGTGAGGAGGCCGGGCCTCTGCCCAGGAATGTGTCCGCTCCTGGGGAAGGGGGCTGGAGCTCCACAAAGCCCCTTTCTACTAGGGCCTGGGAAGGGCACAGGACCTCCAGCCTGACCCCACCCCTCTTCGTTCTTCGAGACCAAGGGCAGGTCCAGGCGAACACCCTCCGTCTGCCACCCTGCAGCTGGTGCCTGAGCATTGGGGCAGAAGGTGAGGCCACCTCTGTTTTAAGAACCAGCCCCCGGGCTGGGCACGGTGGCTCACGCCTGTAATCCCAGCACTTTGAGAGGCCAAGGCGGGCAGATCACTTGAGGTCAGGAGTTCGAGACCAGCCTGGCCGACATGGTGAAAATACAAAAATTAACCAGGCGTGGTAGTGCGTGCCTGTAATCCCAGCTACTCAGGAGGCCGAGGCAGGAGGATTGCTTGAACCAGGGAGGCAGAGGTTGCAGTGAGCCGCGATTGTGCCACTGCACTGCCTTCCAGCCTGAGTGACAGAGTGAGACTCCATCCAAAAAAAAAAAAAAAAAAGAACCAGCCTCCAGAGCCAAGGACATTGGTGCAGCCAGCAGGGGCGAGGCTGCCTTGGAATAGGGGTGCTCTCTGGCCAGTCCTCTCCTTCCTCTTACCCTATCTGGTGAGTTCCCTTGGAGCCAGAGGCTGGGAGAGGGAGGCAGCTGCTCTGCACTCAGGGTGGAAGTGGGAGCTGCACTCCTGACCAGCCCTGGCCCCGGAGGAGGCTACTCACCAACTCCTGATTCCCATCCCTGCCCAACAGAACTCCCTGCAACACACCCAGGCCCCTGAACTCCAGTCCTGGGTCCCTGTGGATCCCTCGGGTGGGCCCAGGATTGGCCTGTGCCGGAGTGGCCTCTGGAATGCAGGGCCTGGTTCCCTGCAGGGCTGTTGCACCCAACTCTGCCCGACCGACACCCTATGGGGAAGAACGCCAGGGTCCCAGCCCACTGCATTTTAGATCTATAGACCCAGGGTGGGCCTGGCTGTGTCCTGGGCAGGGGCAGTGGCTGGCCTGGCCCCTGGACTCTGCAGGGAGGTGCCTCTGAGCCACTTGTGTGACTCGTAGCAAAGTGCAGGTTGGGGAGGAAGAGAATAGGGAGAAAGGAGAGAAAAGGAAGAGTGGGGAGAGAGGATGGGGAGGGAGGCAGAGGGAGAGCAGCACTCCCACCTGGCCCAGGCCTGGGTCACTTACTGAGAGGGGACTCCTCATCAGGCTCGGAGACCATCATGCCAGCCACGGGCGGGCGGCCCAGGGGCGGCCCTGAGCCTGCAGAGTAGAGACATAGAAGGAGGCAAGCAAGGGAGACGAGACGGAGAGAAGCAGAGAGAGAGGCAGAGACAATGAAAGAGAGAGGGAGACACAAAGAGACAGAAAGACAGAGACAGAGACACAGAAAGTGAGGGTGGGGAGAATGACAGAGAAAAAGCAAGACAAAGGTGAAGAAAAAGGCAGTGGGGAAAAAAAAAAGAACAGGCAGAGCGGAGAGAGGGAAAGACAGGGGGCGACAGAGGCAGGGATGGTGAGCCAGAGAGAGGGAGAAGAACAGGATGAGGCAGAGGGAGGAGGTGCAGAGACAGACACCCAAGGAGTGGGGAAGAGGGCCCAGGACAGGGCGGACAGGGGACACACACAGACATGCAGACAAGGGTCAGAGCAGGACACACGGGCATGGGGGAAGACAGAAAGAGACAGGTCAGAAGATGGAAAGAAACTGGGGGAGGAGAGGTGGGAAGGGGTCCTAGGGAGGGGAGGCTATCAGGGATGGGTGTTGACACAGGGGGCTGGAGCTGAGCCAGAGAGCCACAGCCATGCCCAGGGGGAGGAGGGGAAGAGCCATCTCAAGGGCTGGAGTCCAGGGTCTGGGACTGGGCCAGAGCCTAGGCATGGCCCCATGACGGTCAGGATGGCCCTGGCTCGTGGGCGCAGTGGGGGCGCTGCCCTTGGTCAAGGCTGAGCGGACGCCCTGGGACCCCGGGATCAGGAAGTCATACCTGCTGCCTCCCTGACTGCCATTCAGCCCAGCTGCCTGGACCTGCCCCAAGGGCAGCTGGCAGGAGCCAGGGTTTGGGCCTGGAGGGTCTGAGGCCCCACCTGTTTCCACTTGTGAGGAAAGGCACCTACCCTGGTCTTGGGCCCCTCCAGCTGTTGTGCCCTGTTCCCCACCTCTTCCCCTCTGGCCTCATCTGCCCTCACAGCTGCTTCTCAGGGACGGCAGGTGGGCTGGCCAGGACTGCCCAGCTGGGGCAGGGGCTGGAGATGGTTCATGAATGGACAGGGTGGACTCAGAGGCAAGCCCGGCTTGGCCAGAGGCAGCTCCAGGGACACATTAGCATAGGCCATTGCAGGATGGGACATGGTTTGTGTGCCTGGAGCCCACCTGACACTCTCTCTCCCAAGCCCCGCCCAGTTCCCAGGCATCCTGCAGCCTCGTGGAGACCTACACGAGGAAAACCTTCAGGCGGAGCCCAAGTCCAGGCTCTGGGAGGTCACAGTCAGGACCAGGTTACCCAGGGACCCACCCTCCTGTCTACACTGACCCAGTTAGGATGCCACCCGCTGGCATTTGAAGGCCCCTGATATGTCAGCTAAAGGGAGGTGACTCCACCCCTGAAGTAGGCCCAGGCCAGATTTGGCCAAGGCCTACCTAGGGTGAAGGCAGTCCTGGATACCACGGGGTGGCCCAGTGGTTGGTCTGACCTAAGCACCTGCTCCATCCTTGGCCCTGGTCATAGACTGTCCCAGGAGCTGCCTCCCAGAGAGGGCGGTAGGAACCATAAAGAGCCACGGGGCCTTGTCCTCGGGTAGGTCCTTCTCCACCCAGTATCCCAGAGTGGAAGGAAGTGGGGACTATGAGCCCCCTTCCCAGTGCTGGGCCAGTCTGACCAGGGTGGGGGCTGACTCTCCTCCCTCCAAGAGCCCAGTCTTGCCTCCCTAAGCTGGGAACCATTGCTTCCCAGCAGGTGACTCGCTGTCACTGAGAAGCAGCCCAGGAATCTGCATTTCTCACAAGCTCCTGGAAGTTCTAAAGCACACTCCTGAATGCACATCCCATGGGCACAGCCTAGAAGTCCACAGGCCAGCACTTAGGAGGCAGGGTTCTCTCCCAAGCCTAGGGTCAGGCTCGCTGTGAGCCCCGCCCGCCCTGCTGGATGCCTGAACGCCCAATTCCACAGAGCCCCGCTGCTCTGCTTGTCTTTGCCTGGGACCCCCAGCTCTGTGCCACCAGGAGAGCTCTGGGGAAGGACTCAACAGTTGAGCTGCCCTGGGAGGTGAGAACATTGCTTTGAATGTGGAACAGCTGACTGGCTCTCAGTCCCCAGCAGAACTGGGCTTTATCTGCCCATTGCCCTGATACCTGTGCCTGTGGCATGGACAAGCACAGGACCTGGCCACACCAGCCTTGCAGGGACCTCCCAATCAGTCTGCACAACTGTCACGCCGCAGGTTAAGAGATCACTCCCACTTCTCCTTGCTTTGTACCCCAGGGGCAGGCCCAAGGAGCCCTCGAGGCCCTCAGCCCAGGAGACTGGCTCTGGGGCTTCCCTGGGGGGCAGGAGGGAGACCTGCGGGAGGCCCGCAGCAACTTACCCATCTGGAAGTCCCCGCTGCCCAGGTCCCCACTGCCCAGGTCGTCTATAAGCAAAAAAGAGACGTAATCAGCAACAATAAATATTTGTTGAGTACTTACTGGGTGTCAGGCACTGTTCTGGGCACCTAGCATACAGTGGGGCAGGGTTGAGGAAGCACAGAATGGTCGATCACCCTCCTCCCCGATGCCTAGGGAGGGGGCCTGTGAAAGTTGGCTTGGAAGCCTCCATCACAGAGCGTGTGGGCCAGCTGGGCTTGATGGCTCAAGCACTTTGGGAGGCTGAGGCGGGTGGATCACTTGAGGTTAGGAGTTCAAGACCAGCCTGGCCAACATGGTGAAACCCCGCCTCTACTAAAAATACAAAAATTAGCCGGGTGTGGTGCCACCCGCCTGTAGTCCCACCTACTCAGGAGGCTGACGTAGAATTGCTTGAACCCCGGAGGCAAAGGCTGCAGTGAGCTGAGATTGCACCACTGCACTCCAGCCTGGGCGGCAGACTGAGACTCCATCTCAAAAAACAAAACAAAACAAAAAAAATAAAAAAGTAAAATAAAATAAGAGAGAGAGAGAGAGAGAGAAGATGTGGGCTGATGCCCCAAACTCCAGGGACTCAAATTATCTGTCCAGTGGCTGGGGTGGGAACGGGCAGATCAGACTAGCCTCCAGGTGAGAACAAGGAGGTGGGGTACAGGATGCGTGATCGTCCTGCACGCTGCATTGCCAGCCATCTGCCTGGTAGGTCCTGACAGTCCCAGGCTGTAGAATGATGTGTGTGGCCCAGGGCCACACAGGTTGTAAGTGGAGGATGCTGGGGTCATGGGGACCAGGGCTCAGGACACACACAGCCCATCTCTTGAGGAACCACCTTGTGGAACTTCATGGGGCCTCTTTAAAGACCAGTGGGAAGAAGCACAATCTCACCCCCCACCCCTCTGCTCCCAGCCTCGGATCCTTGGCTCACCTCCGGAGGTGCTGTCAGCCAGCATGTCCTCATCATCAGAAAGGTACGAATGTGTCCAGCGCATTTGGCTTGCTGTGACGGCCTCCGTGTCCTCAGGCAGAGATAAGCCATCGTACGCGCTCAGCCCGTGGGTCACCTGTAAGCGAACGACAGAGCCGATTGAGTCACTCTGTCCAGCTCCCACTGAGCCCCACGGTCCTTCCCCTCACTTCCGGGGGACCCAGAGTCCCACTCCCAGGCCCCCTAGTGGTTAAATTTGACTTAGTATGGCTCAGTGAGCCAGGCTGGGGCTGAACTCGTTTTTGACTCAGTTTCCCCAAGCCCCATTAGCCCCCCCTGGAGGCTTCAGAGCCCAAGCCTGTAAATTCTGAATGAATCCTCAAATAAAACAGACAATAAAATGTAAATCACTTTAGTAAGTAAAGACTCCTTTTTCTTGGGAGAAGGCAAGGGACACCCAGGACATGAGTGAGTGGATGGGGGGATGCGGGCGGGTAAAGGGGTGACTTCAGCCAGCGCAGATCGGGGGCACAGGCAGGTGGAAGGATGGCCAGGGTCAGCATGGGTGGGGACACAGGCAGAAGTCGAGGGCGAGCTGCTCAAAGCTGTTGCCTCCCCAGGCAGCTCCTCCCCAGGCTGTTTGGCTCCTCTTCCTGCCTCCCTCTGGCCTGCCCGTCTCCAGGCTGCAGGGAACACATTCCACTGTGTTGGAGAATTAGCTTTGGCACATGCAGCCACACTGACAGACTCATCTCTGCGCCCAGCAGCACGGAGGCAGAGCCCAGCATCTGGGCTGAATGGGGACAGGCGTGGTGTCAACTCCACGTGACCTCAGGCTGCTGCTGAGCCCAGGATAAGCTCTACCTTGGGGCCTGTGCTATGTGGGCCGGAGCAGAAGGGCCCCAGCGGCCGTAACACCTGCCTTCTCAGGTGTGGGTCCGGGCAATGAGTGCCTCTTTCCCCCTAGACAAGATCCGGATGTTTCCAAAGCAGTTTTACCAAATAACTTAGAGGAAAACAAACCCAGGGGAGCCCAAGGGAACCCCGGGAACCCCGTGGCCCACAAGTGTGCAGATTCATGATGGCTGGACCCCAGATTCTATAAACACAAGTATGCACAGACTGGTAATGGCCTGGCCTGAGGGCCTCAGGCCCTGCCCTGGCCTTAAGCCAGAAGGAAATGGTCTTGCTTTTGAAAACCAAACCCACAAGGGCTAGACAAGGTAGTGAGGTCCAAGCCAGAGCAAAGGCCAAAGAGAAGAAAAAAACAAAGAGCTAGCCAGGCCCCCTTCCCTCCCCAATCCCACAGCTCCCACAGTCCATGTCCCTCACGCCTCTGGCATTTCTCACGCCGGGCCCTCTGCTGGAATGCCCTTCCTCTCTTTGTTTCTCAGGCGAACTCCAATGCATCCTCCAAAATCAGCTTAAATACCACCTCCTCCACCTACTCAGGAATAAGGAGGAACAAACGACTGATTGATACGCGTGGATCTGATAGAAGCCAGACACAAAAGACTACAAACTATACGATTCCATTTATATGAACCCTTGGGGGTGAAAGTCTAATCCATAGTGACAGAAAGATCAGTAGTCACTTGGGACCAAGGGCAGGCTGGGGGTGGCTGGGAAGGGGGCACAAGAGAACCCTCTGGGGTGATGGTTCACTGGACGTACACATCTCACTACTGACTGCACCCTGAAAATGGGTATATTTTGTTGTGTGTATTTATGCCTCAATAAGGATGACGGGAAACTCTCTTTGTCCTAACTCCTTGCTGTTCACAGTGACCTCAACCCCCAGTCTGGTTCTGGGCCCTCCTGGGCTCACAAGGTTATTGTCTGTACCTCCATTGGAATGGAAGCACCTTGAAGGCAAGGGCTGTGATGAATTCATCTCCACCTTCTCTGCACCCCGTGCTCAATAAATACTTGAATGAATCAATGAATAAATGAATGGACAAAAATGTCATCACCTACACATTTCAGTCACTCCTTGAAGCTGACTTGCTTTGGGGAGGCACTACCTACCTCTGGGCAATCTAAAAGCATCTCCTGTCCCAGGCTGTGAGTTCCCTGGATGGGGGAGTGGCTGGGTGCCATTTGTTCATCTTTGTGTTTGCGGTGCTCTCAGACCCTGGGGGTCTGCATTGTCCACATCTTATTCCTGCTTTGGCCTAAAGCCCTTGCCCCCAACAATCCACCGGCAAACGTTGCCTCCTGTTCCTTCTCCTCTCCCTGCCCTCTCCCTGTGCATAAGCGCCCATCCCTGTCCTCCTGAGTGCTGGCTTGTGGACTTCTAGGCTGTGCCAGTGGGATGTGCATTCAGGAGTGTGCTTTAGAACCTCCGGGAGCTGGTGAGAAATGCAGATTTCTGGGCTCCTTCTCAGAGACAGTGAGTCAGGTTCTTCCATCCCAGGAGGGTGGTTATAATTTTGCATGTCCAGGGGATTCCCACAGCCACTGGTTAAGAACCATAAGACCAGCCCCTGCCAGGGGTTCTGCCTCCTTCCCTGGGTGGGGTACAGGGCAGTGTTCCCTCTGGCTGGAGCAGGCCTGACTGACCCAACACGGGCATGAGGCTGGGGCTGGTGCAGGGGCACTGACTCTGGATAGAGGAGATTTGAGGGGTCCTCCCAACCTGGTGGGGGGCTCCGTCAATGCCAATCCCCCTCCCATTGCAACCAAGGTTATGGAGGGCATGCCTGGAGCACTGAGACTCCCGGCATCTCCTAGACACTGCCGTCTAGAAAGGCAAACCGAGTGGTGAGTCATGTGCAAGGTCCACAGCTTTTCCCAGGGAGCAGGGAGCTGGTCAGGAGGTGGTGGCAGGGGTGGCCTTGGGACCAGACAGGAAATAGCAAAGTGAGATTCAACATGGAAAGAAAGCCAGGAACACACATCTGCAGGGAGAGGGGAAAGAGAGGCCAGAGCACGTCGGGACTTGGACAGAAGGACCCCACACTCCACCACAGGACCCCAGAGCACGGACCCCTCCATCTGCCAGTCTGCTCTTGCTTGCAGCCCCCACCCCAGGGTCTGAGGATCCAGGGTCAGATCAGGGCCCATAGCAAGGAATAAGTCAGCAAGAGCAGAGGCTTCATCTGTAAAAAGCTAAAGATCAAAAGGTTCCAGCAGCTGTATTTCACATCTGGGAGAGGAGATGGAACCAGACAGGAAAGAGGCTCCCAGAAAGAGCCAAAAGGAACTTGAGACTTGACCATAGAAGGACCTTGGACCCAGAACGAGAAAGTCCAGGATCTGCTTGAGGAATAATAACAGCTAACATTTATTGAGCACTTACTAGGCACCAGGCACTTCTAAATCAGGTTATAGGTCTTATGGAGTTCCACTGAGAAGGGGGGCAAAGAGAGCAGAGAAAGGTTATCTGTTGAAACTGGCATGTGGCAGGGCTGAGATTTGAACCCTGGTGGTCGGGCTCCAATACCTAAGCAGCTGCCACTGTGCTATCCCACCTCTGTGACCGGGGTGTGCAATGAGGCAGATACTAGATCACTGGGAGTCACTCTTGCAAAGCCTCTCTGCCACACTGCACGTCACTTTGTAATGCATTTCCTCAGCCTAGTATCACCTGAGTTGACAGTGACCCTTGGAGGTGGCTGAGGAGGTATGAATGCTCCCCTTTCCCAGTGAGTCCCGGGAGACGCATCTGCCCAGATCGCAGGTGAGGAGCTGGCATCCCACCCCAAGCCTTCTGCTCACCAGGAAATGAGGCAGGGCTGGACCTCTGGGCTGACCATGAGGCCTAAGCAGACAGCAATACCAGGGAGCCCAGGGTTGGCCAGTCCCTATCCCCAACCTGACCAGCTCTCAGGACGGCCCCATGGGATGCCTGAGCTGGCAGTAGCCCGGGGCCATGCAGCATGTGCCTCAGGTCCCAAGGAGGGCCATTAGCAGCTCCAAGGTCAGAGGCAGAAATAGAACCCAGGTTTCCTGCCCTCCAGCCCGTCTCCGGCTGTGAGGGAGCCCGGCTTCCTCCCAGAGGAACCCAGCACTTCAGACATGTGTTGGAGCCAGACGGGGAGCCGGAGAGGAGGGGTCTAGGGGGCAGACCTCAGCCAGAAAGGAAGGAGCTAAGCAGAGAGGGGGATTTTCCAGACCCTCCAGTTCCTGGTTGGGGGGGTGCAGGCAGCTGACTCAACCGGGCTCAGGCCAGAGAACTGTTCTAACAGGCTGAGAACAATTGCTTAGGGCCGGGGTGCAGGCAGGGCGGCCCCCAGTGGGCAGGCATTCCTTGAACACAGGCGGGACTGTAGGCGAAGGCTTCTGGGAGGCACCTAATCCCCAGAGGTGGGCTACGTCCAGGCCCTCCTAGTGAGAACGAGGGTCATGTGGAATTCCAGGTCCAAGTTGTGTCCTTGGGGACAATGAATGCAGGCTGGATCCTCCTCTCCTGGCCTGGGTGAGGATAAAGAGGCAGACAAGGCTGGCTAGGAAAGGACTCAGCACTGAGGAGAAAACCACAAGAGTGGGGCACAGAGCGGAGAGAAGGTGGGGGAGGTACAGATACGGAGAGCTGGTACAGATTACTTGAGGCCAGGAGTTCGAGACCAGCCTGGCCAACATGGCGAAACCCCGTCTCTACTAAAAATACAAAAATTAGCCCGGCGTGGTGGTGCATGCCTATAGTCCCAGCTACTCGGGAGGCTGAGGTAGGAGAATTGCTTGAACCTGGGAGGCAGAGGTTGCAGTGAACCGAGATCACACCACTGCACTCCAGCCTGGGCGACAGAGCAAGACTCTCAAAAAAAAGTTTATAGCAAGCTCACTTGGTGCCAAGCCCTGACCATGAAGCTATTCAGAGTGTGTACACTCCACTCAGCGGCAAGAGTCCTGCGTTTCACTGCAGCATTATTACTGTTGTTTGATCATGGGATGTGACCCCCAGACTCCAGTGGGGATGTCACATCCTGGCTGGGTACATGCTCTATGTCACCTTCCTCAAACTTGAAGAATTCTGAATTCCAAAACACATCTGACTCTGAGGCTTTCGGTCAAGGAACTGTGAGCTTGTGTTATTATTATTTCCATTTTCTGGATGAAGAAACTGAGGCTCAGAGAGGATTGTCTCGGTAAATGGGATCAAGCAGGTAAGGCATTTAGTGAGGTGTTTACTTA